TACTCCTTCAATAATTTCTTCAAACCCTAATCTTTTGGATTTCTTGTTATACTCCTACTACTTCTACCACTATGGGATTTGAATCGACAACTGCATCTCTGTGCTAATGTGGTATGGCAACTCGAACTGATGTACGTACGTACGAAGTTCTACGTTGTGACTGACTGACTGATTATAATCTCAGATCTAGGTATATTGTTATTCAGAAGTATTTGACTTACTTGGTACTTGTCAGCCGTTTGTATGGACTGCTCAAATTAGCAGTCAATAATATAACATGAAGATTTAAGTATTATAATAATTGTAATATCTAATTCAGTTTTTAATAATCTAGATGTTTTGATTGTTGACATCCTGATTGAACTCTGGTCAGTGTTAGTTAGCAAAAGACACGAACTCTGGAATGTAGGTACATCCACTTGACAAATCGCAGATGGGGTGAAACGCGCATTCAGGATTCCGCCGTTAGTCACGTTATATCTATTCTTTATTTATAATATCTGCTAAAAGATATTTTGGCCGACGTAACTGAATAGCTTGATAAATAACTTGTTAGTTGTTGATATGATAGGGATTAGGTAGGAGTTCTAGAGTGAATATCAACCTTTGATTTAAGATGTTCACTTATTTCACATAAAAGCAGGCATATTCTTTTTTATTCACTCATAGAACAAGAAAGCGACGCTTAAAAATTATGACGAAGAACGAAATATGAAGATTTTATTATTATTAGTAGTAGTCTTGGTTACAGATTAATTTCAGGTAGGGCACTATTGAAATTTATTAAACACTGCGCAGGTACATTGTTCTAGTATAAGATTCCTTAGCAGTATCCACCCATGTCCCTCAAAAAAAAGCTAACTAGTTACCTTCAGTTCCCAACCATTACACCATGAGATCCGTATCTAATGGTGCAGAATTCTTACTTCAACAAATGTGGTGAGATAAACATGGTTGAGTTTCACTGGTCATGAGCTCCTACTAGAGCTTTAAACACTCGGTTCAAAGTCCACGATTGTGATCCTAATGCAGTGATTCTATCAATTTAGTATTTTGGTTCATTTCCCACTTTTATTACATGTTATCTGACACAACTTGATGAGATTGTTCGCGAAGTTAATCTCCTTAGATGAAATGAGAGTAGGTTCTCAAATTGACAAATGTCTATATGCAACAAATACTTAACCACTCAAATAGTTTTTATGTCACAAGTTCTATCTCTATTACCTTTAATACTGCTATAAAGATTAAATGCTACTACTCAGTGAGTTGTCTAGTTAGAGACTTGTCTCAAGATATGATAAATTCTTGGTAGGTAATTCAGCAAAGTGATCGAAAACATGTTTATGTTGTTTGTTTTTGTATTTAAGATTCATTAGATAAATACGTCAGGATCCAGAGACAGCCATTGATTTTAAGTTTTAGTATGATCAAAAACACTGAAAGAGGAGTACATTCGACTGATAAGTAGGAAGAAATAACTATCCAAGATCTTACTACTATCTACACTCTAAATATATTAATGTTTATTTCACTTTTCAATATACTAATCAATGTTAATCTTCATTAAATTCATATATGTATATCACAAGGAGTAACAGACGTAAGTAAGTAAGTAAGTAAGTAAGTAAGTAAGTAAGTAAGTAAGTAAGTAAGTAAGTAAGTAAGTAAGTAAGTAAGTAAGTAAGTAAGTAAGTAAGTAAGTAAGTAAGTAAGTAAGTAGACGATTCATGTATCTATAGAAGATAAATAATACTGAAGTGTATTATTGATTGAACCGAATATAACAAGATTGTTTTTTTTTAATATACTTTGGATGATATCTCTTATTGGTAAAGCTACATATATGTATTCAGACTTAATAGGTGACTATATGAAGTATTGTAAGTATATTACTATAAATACCATCTTTCAATTGTATGAATATGAATAGTCTAATAGACAATTAATACTTATAATGATATTATCAACAATTAAAATAATGGAATATTGTTCTTTTGTATCTATACTTCAAGTTGAATGATCAATATGTATGAATATATCATTACGTAAGAAGGAACTAATTGCTTTATATTATGTAAGATGGGTGATATAATGTACTGACAGACAGAATAAATCTATAAAGTTGAAATGAACTGTATACTGAAAGTGTAATGGTGTTGATTATTTATTCATGAAATCTAGTCATTTTGTTTGATTTAATAATAATAGAAGTATCCAATTAGTTGATAGAAGAGTTAATTTATAATCTCTCATTACCCTTCCTATGTAACAAGCATAGATGGAAATCATGAATCAAAGAGTAAGGTAGAGAAGATTAGTAGCTTTGGCGAATGATTTGGATGGAGTTTTGTTCTTTGAGTTGCATAGTTTGGTCGTGGAGCTTTCATCATTCTTCTGAATGTCATTATCAGCATAGTAGTACCCAGAGTTAGTGCTGATGATATCTTTTCAGAAGGACGATGAAAGCTCTACGACCAAACCATCCAGCTTAGAGAACAAAATTCGACTGCTCAACATGTTAGTTACTTTGTTTAATTGAGACAAAAAAATGAAAACACATATCATACTGTATGGTATCCAGTCAGCTACGTAATCAAGATAAAGACTTTCGTAGTTCAGATGTACCTTAATAAGCATAATAGATTTTATAAACTTCTATAAATAGGAGACATTACTATGAATAAACGATAGACGTAGTTCATAATTAGTATTTGGCAACTGCATAATGATTCCTAAAGTTCGTAATACAGTTTAAGAAAAACATTACTTGTCTATTATTCAGGTATCTAAAGACAAAGAGAGAATATGGTTGATAGAGTGCATTCTAACGTTAGTGGTAGAACACTAATCCAAACGATATTTCAAGCGTCTTTTAGACACTTTTGGATAGTAATTATATAAACAGTAATATTTAAAGTGTTAAAGTTACTCTAAACATCTTTACTAGTTTACTAATATCATCTCTGATAAACATCAGAGTATAATCAATATTTCAAGATCACTTTCAAGTTTATTATACTATCAAAGTTCTATGACCTGTCATGTATTTTACCTATGATAGATGGATCATCTATTATAGTCATACTGTAGTGAACAAAACACTAGTTGGGAACAATCGAATGTATTTAAGCACAAATTACAGCCTATCTCATTAAATTCTGATAACCATACAGTCAATAGTTAATTTGTAAAATAACAATCAATTGTCTTCATCTTAACTGTTCCTTCTGCAAATATCAGTCCGTCTTCTCTTATTTCATTGTTCATATATTTTCGTATCGATTGCACTTCATTTCTGTTCTTTCCTTCTCAATCTTCTGCCAAAATACATTCTATGCCTGACCATCACCATATACTACTTATGTGGATATAAGTAGACCACACCACAATACTATATTTATATTATGTTGATTGTTTTCAATCATAGATATATTATTTAGTAACTTAGTAACGGAATACATGAGAGTAACCTAATGATTTGAATAAACAACCTAACATTAGATTATTTAACAAATCTCTTAGTAACTAAACCAAGTCAATCTTTGATCTACTCATTATTAAACATAATGATCTCATTATTAAGTGCATTGTAATGAATGAATAGAATATTCAATGAGTTGAATTACTCTATAAATTTCATTTATCTACTTAAAATCAATTATTCAGTAGTATATTTTATATGAATATTCGTGAAGAATAGAACGAATAGCTTGACAAAAATTGAGCGCGTCAAGTATAAAGAAGTCATTATATTTGAAAGAATCTTAGCAGTTGAAATTTAAATAATTCCAATGTTTCGTCCATCTAACTAGCGTCTGGACTTCTTCAGAGTAATAACCAAATTTAAAACCATCAAACAAGTTTAGACAAGTTAGCTAAACAAACAGTTGGAATTATTTTAAATTTCAATTGCTGAGATTATTTCAAATATATTTTTTTACATATTTAGTACTATAATTATTTTCTTATTCCCACGAGGCGGGATCGTGGATGCTCACTGCTGAGGAGTCCCACAATAGGACGAAACGGCCTTAAAGCTATGCTTCCAGGTTTTCCACGGTGGTCTAACTTCAGTTGACTTATGGTCTTCACCATATAACATTACAACGAATTATTATTACATAATGGATTTACTCAAACTATTAAGATATTACTTTCAAAAGTATAAACCTACTATAATACGCTTTTTCTTACTTTATATCTAATTAAACAAAATAGTTATGCATTCAAATTTATTTATGATTTTGGTATACTTGGATGGGGGTAGGCACAAAGTATTGGTTTGCAGTTCCAGTATTAGGTTAGTGACAAATCCAGCTGATGAGTCCATACTTATTGGATTCTATTGTTAGTTATAATCTATGTATAGTTCAACTACTAATCAATTGGAGTATATAGTTTGACAGAATTTTTGCACAGTTAAGTACAAATATTTATTTCTTGTAAACTGATGTTTTATTGAACAAGTTGTAAACACATCTCTTAAATCTAAAAACATTTCATGAAACTTTACTAGTTGAGATCATGAATCAATAAAAGCTAGACGACCAAGCAAAACATCGAAGCACTGGACAACCGTTTCTTCCTATTGCGGGGCTTCTCAACAGTACACATCCATGATCCTGTATCACAAGATTCGAACACAGGACCTATCCGTTTCGCGTGCGTTGCTTTACCTCTAGATCACTGAGCTGGCATCCAACAATATTAATGTCTAACTTCAACTGATCAACGAAAGTGAGCGACACATCCATCAATGTCTTCAGTCTTGTTGAGGAGTCCTATAAGAGGACGAAACAGCCGTTCAGTACTTTCAGGTTTTTCCATGGTGATCTAACTTCAATTGATTCATGATCTCCACAAAACTCCTTCTGATATTTCATGGAATTGTTTAAAAAACAAGTAAACAGAATTATAGCATATACAATACTGTATGATGAATTGGGAAACTAATTCATTTCATATAGACTATTAGAACATTTTAATTGAAAGCTTACCTCTGGTATAACAACTCCTTGTATAGAAATGATTAATAAATTACTGAATAATAACAAAGAGATCATCTTCACCAAGTTGAACGATCTCATCCTCATCATCATCATCATCATGATCATCATCGTTATCAAGATTAAACTTTCTCTTTAATCTTTACTATGTTAATCAAGACAGAGTTATCTATAAAGAATAATATTCATTCTTATTCAACAATTTATCCTATTCCAATGTAAACTATCCTATATCTTTATTGGTTATCATAGAAAAATAAAAAAAACATTGATTGTGATTGAGTAAAACTGTGTTCCATATGTTTCTCTATGTGTAGATAGGGAGAATATTCAACCAATCGAAAATAAATCCATTTTTAATATTTTCCTCATTAAAACTAATGGAAAGGTATCAGGATTAATTTCATAGATGAAGTTTGTGTAAAATAAAATGACCAATGAAAGCTAGACCATCGTGGAAAACTTGGAATCATTGGACAGCCATTTCGTTAATATTGAATATCATGAACCGATAGAAGTTAGATATTCATTAGCGATTAAGGATACTGAAACATGTTTTTTCTTAGTATAGAGCTGCACAACTATGAACATTCAAACTAGTTACTTATTTACTTACGCCTGTTACTCCCAGTGGAGCATAGGCCGCTGACCAGCATTCTCCAACACACTATGTCATAATCCTTCCTTTCTAGTTCTATCCAATTTTTGTTCATTCTTCTCATATCTGTTTCTATTTCTCGGCATAATGTGTTCTTTGGTCTTCTACTTCAGGATTCCATGTGAGGGCTTGACTTGTAACGCATTTGGGTACTTTTCTCAATGTGTGTCTTGTCCACTTCCAGGGCTTGTTCCTCCACTGGAATCTGGTTTGTTCTCTACCTTAGAAGAATGTTACTGATAGTGTCTGGTTAACGGATCTGAATTATCTTGCGTAGAAAACTGTTAATAAACACCTATAACTTCTGAATGATGATCCAAACCAGTTACTTAATAACATTTCATCAGAATGTTTTATTCTTAAACAACCTTATAAGCTGAAATTAACGTAGTATTGTTTGTTTGAATCTTCCTATTGATGTTGTTAGGACTGCAACTGGTCAGTCTCTTATTGGCATATGTGCAAACTGTGCGTATTGTTTCGATATAGCCTAAGTTCACAAGCATGGTAAGCAAAGATAGATAATGGCCAGCAGTGGAATCCAGTTTGACGCGCGTTTCGTCCTATTTGAGACTCGTCAGCTGGATGTACCTGCATCTCAGAGTTGATGTTCACACCGTGACTCGAACTCATACCTTTCACTTCAAACACCATCGCGTTATCCACTCAGCTACTGAGTCCTGATAGCTACTTGCTTGTGCAATAGGTTAAAGTTTGAATTCACTTAGTATTGTTTGTTTGAATGTTCTCATTGATGTTTAGGACTGCAACTGTGAATTAAGGCAATATAGAGGCAATACGCACAGTATGCACATATGCCAATAAGAGACTGAACAGTTGCAGTCCTAACAAATCGATGGGAAGATTCAAACAAACAATACTGAATAAATTTAAACTTTACCCCATTGCACATGCAAGTGGCTATCAGGACTCAGTGGCCGATTGAATAACTTGATAGCGTTTGAAGCGAAAGGTACTGGGTTCGAGTTCCAGAATGAACATCAACTCTGAGATGCAGGTACATCCAGCTGACGAGTCCCAAATAGGACGAAACGCACGTCAAACTGGATTCCACTGCTAGCCACTATCCATCTTAAACCCAATAGGCTTACTTTCAAAATTATTTTTATTCTATATTACTATTAGATCAGAGAGGGCTTTGTGGAGAATTTAGTATTTTCACAGTTGAAATCATGAGTCAATTGAAGCTAGACCACGATCGAAAACCTGGAAGCACAGCTTTAAGGCCGTTTCGTCCTACTATGGGATTCCTCAGCAGTGCGCATCTACGATCCCGCACTCTCGTGAGATTACTATTCCCAATGTACTATAGATAAATTATTCAATGATAAACTTGAAGATTAGATACATATCTTTGTTCTATCTATACAAAACTAAAGCCTATTGAATGAATCATTTTAATGATTTCTAATATTTATTTATAATATTCATTATAATGTAATCCATCAGATGATTGATTTTGTTTTTAACCCTATTCAAAGTTGATTATTATGTCTGTTGAGAAGTGATCATTTCAATCTTATTAAAGTACAATATTGATAATAGTAATGAATATTCTTAGGTTCGAGTATGTACTTGATTAAGTTCAAGTTGGGATTATATATATAGATAAAGGAATACAATTAAGTCTTTTTAGTAAAATGCATTAATCTATCTATCTATCTATTATGGATATACAAAGTGATCAACTATACACTTAATTGTTAAGTCTTAGACAAAGAGAGTCAATGAACTTGTAATAGTTCGACTGATTGGATTATTCATAAGACTTAAACAAGTTATTCATTTGACTTACAATTTGAAAATGAAATAGAATTATGTTCCTGTTATTGATTCATAAAACCAATCAATTTTGTTTTTCTAGTAGAAGAAGTAGGTGTCAAAATGTTTCAAGCGAGATTTTTGGTGACAGTATTAGTAAAGTGTTGGAGATCTTATAGAAATTGTGGAGTATTATAATTGTTTAAAAGATTGAGTTTTTTATATTCAGTTTGATGAACTTAAATTAATGATGTATAATAGTTACTAAATTAATTGCTTACGCCAGTTACCCCTTGTGAAGAAGCATAGGCCGCACAAGATCATTCTTCATTCAATCCTGGGCAATCCTTCCCAGTTAACATTCATCCTTTTTATATCTGCTTTTATTTCCAGATGTCGTATGTTCTTAGACCTTCCTCTTTTCCGCTTCCCTTCCGGATTGCCTTGTAATGCAGTTTCGTGATCTCCTTAATGTATGTCCTATCCACTTCCAACGTTTTTTCTAATTTCCTCTTCAGCTGGAAGCTCGTTTGTCCTCTCCCATAAAACGCTGTTGCTGATAGTATCCGGCCAATGGATGTTGAGTATTTTGCGTTGACAACTGTTTATAAATACTTGTACCTCGCTACCGATGAATGTCGTGGTTCTCGACGTTTCAGATCCATACAGTAGGACTGTCTTGACGTTCGTGTGGAAGATTCTGACCTTGAAATTATTTGACAGTTGTTTTGAGTTCCATATGTTCTTCAAGTGTAGATAATCTGCACTTGCTTTGCCAATCCTTACCTTTACGTCTGCGACAGATCCTCCTTGTTTATCAATGAGGCTTCCCGTGTACGTGAATGTTTCCACCTCTTCCAGAGTTTCGCCATCAAGTGTGATTGGGTTGGTGTTCTCCGTGTTGTATTTGAGAATCTTGCTTTTTCCTTTGTGAATGTGGAGGCCTATCGATGCGGAGGCTGCTGCTATATTAGTTGTTTTCCTCTGTATTTGTTCATGTGTATGGGATAGAAGGCTTAGTCATCTGCGAAGTCCAAATCGTCTAATTAATTCTAAGAAGTCCATTGTATTCCGTGCTTCCCCTCAGATGTCGAGGTTTCCATAATCCAGTCGATCACCAGAAGAGGAATGGGGAGAGTAGATAGCCTTGTCTGACTCTGGTCCCTACCAGCAATGCATCTGTCAGCTGTCCTCCATGCACTGTAGTCAGTCGTATGAGTTCTGGATAATATTGACAATCTTCTGAGGAACTCCATAGTGTTCCATAATGTTCTCCGGTCCACACTGTCAAACGCCTTCTCATAGTCAATGAAGTTATAGTGATGAGTTCTACTCAGCTGATTGTTCAACGATGATCCGTAGTGTAGCAATTTGGTCTGTGCGTTGGTTTGATCGTTACCGAATCCAGCCTGTTGAACTCGAAGTCGGGAGTCTACTGCGTCTTTCATCCGGTTCAGCAACACTCTGTTGAAAACTTTTCCTAGTACTGACAACAAACTGTTGCCTCCATAATTCCCACATTTGCTAAATATTTTCTAAGATCGTAATCAATGTAACATAATTCATTTAAAACAATAAAGATCAATCTATATAACTTGCTTAGCACGTTCATCAGTCAGACGTTATTCTAAATTGAATGTATATACAAATTTAGAATGATGTACTATCGTTTAAAACTTTCACTATTTCATAGAGCTGAACTGTTTGAAGCTTTTCTAATTCCATTATAGTATTTTGATTGAGTGAGAATTTGTAAGATGACGATTTTCTCTATTTCCTTAACTAATATTTGAAACTTTCGACATTGTTCCCTTTGTGTCATTACGCATGGTCCACAGAAACTAAAGTTTGTGATGTATGGACAATTTCATTTAATTTTGAGATACTACTTATATTTCATAGCAGAATAAATTAGCTATTTTGTGAATTTAAACGTGTTGCCAATCAGGGATTGCATGCTTTTTCATCAGCTACATATTGTTGTAATATAAATAATTAACCGATATAAAATCTTGTATCCTATTTCCAAGTGTCAATGCTACTTATACATTATTCATGTGCCCTACTCATATCATTAGAGTTATCCGGTATGGTCACTCTTTTTTTTAAGAACTTAAATTTTTGATATATATTGTATGTTAGTCAAAACAGTAAATTTTCGAAATATCTTGAGACTTATATCGAAGTGGATAACATTTTGCCTAAAGCTTAACATAGACTTGTTGCGTGTAAGGCTACTATCGTTTGCTTGTTTGAAAAACACAATCAGTCTGTAGGCAATAACATACGATAGGCCTTTGTTAGTAAATGAAATTGTCGCTAAAAATGAAAATCATTTTGGTGGGGGTTTCACTCTCTGAGCTGGATGGTTTAGTCGTAGAGCTTTCATCGTTCTTCTGAATTACATCATCAACACAAACTTCTGGTAGAAGTGAAATGTTCGAATTTCTCCATATGTGGCTCACAGTCTGTCCTGTACACATCGATGTTGATTGGTTCTTACTAACTTTAAATCTATCATTGTTTACTTCTCGATTTTGGATATATCTCCCATTTGTTTGATTTTCGCTCCTGTGTTTGTGCTGATAATGTCATTCAGAAGAACGATGAAATCTCC